GAAACCCAAAGCAAAATAAAAACAAAACACGAGAATCGGGGCTAAGTTGCTGATGACCTTGCGATACCCTTCCATGCGGGCTAAGATCTCCCAGTTTGCCATTGGCATCGATTAATTTATGGACAGGCTCAGGGCCTACTTTCCACTGTTAGTGGATGGACTCGAGGGAAGGGAAGCCAAGGGAAGGGAAGCGACCCAATGGCGAAGGACACAGATATCTGCAAGCACGTACAGCCACTGACAGACATCAGAGTAGCATTAATATTGCATTAAATAAAGATTAAATAATAAATAATAAATATATGTATAAAATATATATATATATATATTTTTAATATATATATATATATATATATATATATATACATATATATTATATTTTATATATATTCATTTTATTTATATTTTTGACGCTATAAATTTAATTCTTATAATTATTTTTGTAAAAGAAAGTAAATCTTCAAGTTTTAGCAATCCTAAATCGTATTAGAAATATTATTAGTATTATTTTTTTAATTTAAAAAATGCTAATGTCTAACATTTTATTTATTAATATTATTTTGGTCATGTTCGTGGGATGTTTGAAGGTGCTCTCTAAAAGACTGGATTGAAAAGACTGTATATATCCTTCATGAAAATGATTATAGAGTTCTCATTTTCGATACACCCAATATATGGGTTAATTTATTTATATATATTAATAATTAATTCATTTATATATATTATTTTATATTTCTCTGCGTGCACGCAACTTTGGCCGTGTCATCATCAGGCAATATTCAAGACATTTTATAGTACGCGCGTGTCCATCGATAAGCAGCAGCCCTTCCCGATTTCTCGCTGCTTCTCATTCACGTTCTCGCTCTTCTTCCTATCGTTCTCGTTCTCGCTGCTTGTGTGTCCTATGGCATTGAAAATGTCGTAAAATGTTAGGCACAACGAGTGCAGATGCGAGACATCAACATCGTAAATCGGTAGCAAATTGAAAGGCAACCAAAAACCAACTTGGCCAACAAAAACAAATAAAATGAAATTAGAAAACAAACTGAGTGTCCGGCTTTAAAGTAAGAATGTTGCAAATGAAAGAAAGCGAATTTGTAAGCCTTAGACTAAGTACAATGACCTTGGAATTTGTATCAACCTTCAATTAATTAAGAGTACTAGTTGCGTGATTTTATTCAAGCTCTTTTCTCCCAGATTTAACCCAAAAAACGCTAGAGACAGCTGCTTATCCGACTGAATTATTGTATTTTTAGAAGGGATAAATAAATAAGAGGCACACTTTTAACGGCTATAATTACCCCTCATGCTGCATATTAAACATTTCTAAACATAGAATCCATATGAAGAGCTTTAAAAAATATATAAAACCTCAAAGAACTTGAGCATTTCAATTACAATCAATATTTGGAATATGCAACTCAGATCATAACGGAAACTAAACAAATATGTGACACTATTTAAATAGTATCTTAACATCACCGAGGCATGTTTAGTTAAGGCCTATTTTTTTTTTTATGGCTGACAACGAAAACGATCACCAGAAAACATATGTAATACCCTTCCCCTACCTCCCCCACACCTTCATCAATTTCGGCATTTTATTCTGTGCGTTCATCGCTTTGATTTCGGTTCGTTCGATTTAAAATAGTTTATTTATAGAGCGACCGACTCTGGGTGACAAAGCGCGAAGGGGCCCCACATACGGCCATACTTGTACATTTACCGTAATCATTTTTGGCAAGTTGAAGAGTCCATTTGGTAATCCAGTTCTTCGATTTGTGATCCATGCACAATCGATAAATCAATCGAGCCGGAATGCCAACAGGTGGATAGATTTGGAGCTGCTGACAGCGAAAAGAAGCAGCGAGAGCGAGAGGAAGTGCAAAGAGAGCGAGAGTCCAAAAAAGGCAACTAGTGGGGGATATAAAAAAAAAGAACTTCTATAAAATTGCCGCTAATCAAAAGCTGCACGAATATTGTGAAATGTTGCGGCAGGTGGGCGACTTTTAGGTGGGGGGAGGAGCGGCAAAAAGTGCCAGCAGCAATAACTAATCAAAACCGAGTGACGATGGCCAAAAGGGGGGAGGGAAGTTCGGTTTAGGTCTACGGATTGTAAACTTGGTCCTTACGCTCGCACATGGAACATGGCAGCAGCTGCAGACACATTCAACCGTTGCCGTTGCCGCCGTTAGAATTCATTTTAAATTGAGAAAAATCGCTGCTACATTGGCACGAAATCACGAAAAGTTTTAATTATTTTCTAACAGGCGAACACACACGCAGGAAAGGAAAAAAAAACACAAAGAGAAAAAAACCCCACACAGTGGCAGAGCAAGTGGGAGAAAGGAGAAGTGTTGCCCCGGGCATTTCAGTTTGTTACCCACTTTTGTGTGTGTTCCATAAAAAGGATAAATCTAGCAAAAAGTTGTGAAACGAATTTTTAGTCAAGTCCGGTTATTGTCTAACGGAAGCTTAATGCTATCAGTTGCATCTTTAAACAAATTAAGTTATTTTGATTATTAAAAACAAGAATCCTTTTCATTTGAAGAAATTTCAATTTGTAAGGATATTTGTCTAAAACGAAAAAAAACGAAGAAAACGTTGACCTGGAATTGTCAACACCCAGAATGTTGATGGGTGACTGTGGAATTTCGGCACGTCTTGGGCGAAGGAGATCCATGGGAAAATGGACCTGCAAAATTGTGTCCTGCGGTCTCCTATCCACTTCCGCAGAGGAGAGGGAAATTAAATACGTTAAATAACCTATATAACCTATATACATGAACGTGCTGGCACACATACACACGCTCGCACACTTGCACACTCCCACACACGAGCACATTCCCACGGCAATTTGTGGTCATTTCCTTTTTCATCAGCTGCGGCAATAATTCCTTGGTCCTCTTTTCATCTCCTGCCTGCTCTTCAGCATCTCGTTCTTTTTCCTCCCTTTTTGCCTCTTCTTCTTTGGGGCTGTTTTCTTTGGTTCGCTTTTGTTTACCGTTAGCTCTCTGCAATTGCGGTACGTGCAGATGTCCTGGCTATCTACGTGCGTGGAAGCGAGACGGTCAGCGGCCGAGGGCAGTGGCCCAGAGCGAGACGGTGCGCTAGCTACTACCGTAGGCAGCAGCCTTGCATAAATATTTTGTAGCTCGCTTTTCGACAAATATTTTGCCACAAGGAAGAAAACGAAGAGAGGAGAAGAAGACGAAGAAGAAGGAAGGAATTCAACCATACTCTTAAATTAAGTCTGGAAAGGACTCGAGAAACCTCTAATGAAATATTAATGTCGTGCCCAAGTGCTTAAGACATAACAGCGAAATAGATAAAGTAACCCAAAGCGAACTCAAATAAATTTTAAGTACATTTTAAAATTGCATTATTTAATATAAAACGTTTATTTTAAACAATAAAATAACTTATGTATACCCCGGAAATAACTTGGGTTTTAAAACCCTTTAAAAGTGCCTAAAAGTAGGCAATGCAATTTTTAAGTGTGCATTTAATGTATAATTTTATAGCCTAGTTTTTGACCTCTTTTTGAGGTCAAAATTCTGTAGTATTCTAATTTTGTAGTAAATCAAATTAGAGAAGAAATTGCCAGCTTATCTCCCTTGAACGATTTTAGACATGGTTTGCAGCTAGGAAAATAGATAGTAGAAAAAATCCATAACACGTTTTCTAAAAAAACCTAATATTGGTGTACAAAAAAAGCAACTTGCTCAACAGTTGTGGTTTAACGTGAAACGTACTCCCACAATCTCTTTCACTAACTGATTAAAGCTTAAAACCGAACTGAATTCAAATGAAATACATAAATTTTGGAATGCAATTTGGTAGTTCATGCGGAATAATGCTCTTAGGACTCCGCATATGCTATCTCCCTCCGATCGGCTGATGTGTGTGTGTGCGTGCTTCTGCATGCGAGGACATGTGGTTGCATGTGCATGAGCCAAAATGAATGACAAACTTTTGTGCGAGCGGGACAGGAGCATGTCTCTGGGGCATTTGCATAAATATTGCCTCTGCTTTGGCCTCTTCCTCCGTTCCACCATTCCTCCGTTCTTCTCCTCCTCGCTTCCTCTCCTGCCCAGCTATCTCTGTCGCACTTGAGAGCTCTAGAGCTGCGTGTGGCGGCGGCGTCGGTGGCCGCTAGGTGGCGCTGTAATCAACTGTGTCAAAATGCCAGCGCAGAAAGTCAAAAGTCGTCGCTGTCAAGTGAAGAAAAGGGCAGAAAAGGCCAGAAGGAGGAGGCAAGAGAGGTGGGGCGTGAAGGCAAGTCAAATTTTAAACACACACTAGACACACACACACACGTCGCCCCTCGGTCTCCCAGTCAAATTTCAAGGCACCTGCCCAGCATCAGACTTTTTGTAAATTGAGGTTAAAACCGAAGCGAAAGCCAAAGAGGAAAAAAAACGAACGCACAAAGAGGCAGAAAAAGGAAACAAGAAAGGCAAAAAACTGTCAACTTGACAAGCACGTATGTATGTGTGTGTGTCTGTACATGCACATAGGTGCCTCTATCGTCCCATCTCTCTTCCACCCACCGTTGAAAGGTAGCCGGAGATGTGTAAAGCGCTTTTTCCGTCTCGCTCTCTGTCATCTATCTTCCCTTCAGTTCCATTCGTCAACGATTCCCCTACGATTCGCCATGGAACCGAAATAATTCCATGAGGATTCGCCATGGAACGTTCATACAACTCGGCTAGGAATTTCCATACAAAATGTGCTCCCAGCCTGTAATTCGAAATCGCCCAAGAATCCATCACGAATCGCACGGGATGGTCCACGGGAATTTCGAAAGATAATCTTGCACGAATCGTCAAGGAATCGCTGGGGCGAATCGTCGACGAATCGCGCGTGAATCACAGGGGGAATCGTGGACGAATCTTGCGGGATTCGCTAGCGGAATCCGCCAGGAATCCCAGATGAAAATCTATAGAAAATTCCTGAAAAATCCCCCCCTTCCTAGTAAAAATCCGATGAATTTATTCCTTATTTATTTATGGATTGCATTTTTTTATTTATCTTCACTTTTTTGGTAGCATTACATTTTTCTGCAAAATTAAACATGTATATATGCGTGTCACGAGTCTCCTTTGCCGGCTGCTGGGTACTTTAAGAAACTTGTTTTATCTGTAAATTAAATACATAAGTACATACATATTTTTTAATCAAATTGTAAATTGCAGTACATACCAACTTAAACTGGATAAAAAAACTTTGTAAATCCGTACTGAATCCCATTCACACCGTCTAAGTTGAAGTCGCATCCATTTTAATCGTCAATTCTGCAATTAAAATTAATAATTGAATGCAAATAAGTTCCACTTACCTTATAATATTTCATTTTTACGCAACTAATACGCAAAACACTTCTGAATGCAACAGCAGTCAACTCAAAATGCAAAGAGAATTAGAAGACAAAACCGAAGACCGAAAATTCTCGCGTGTCAGGGTATAGCCGACAAGGCAATGCCTTGTAATTAGATTCACAAAGGGCTGATAATCAAACGTGAACATTTCGGCCAAGTCAAAAGCACATTTTCTTAAGTGCTTATATACCACATGATTTTATACGTAAAAATTAATTAAATATAATCTTTAATATTTTTAAATATTCCTACTTATTTTAAAAAGGTCATTCTGCCGTCGGTGCAATACTCTTTGTTTTTTACACCAATTTTCTTTCCTCCCTTCCTTCCATCTCCATCTCTCTCTAATTTACGAACTCTCGCAACCGCTGCTTCGAACAGAGATCGAAAACAATAACAAATATGAGGATCGAACTTCGTGAAGCCCTCGGCAGTAGCCGAGCGTAGGTAGAATTTGTTTCGGCTATTTTGTTTCGAACTTCGCTGAACGAGGCCCATGTAATTTGTTTTTGTTTTTCGAACATACCGCGAGGAATTGGACGGGCGAGGAATTTTGGAACTGCAGGGTTCTTACAAATTCTTCTTCTTTTATTTTTTTTTTGCAATGCCTCACTTTGCTTTTGTTCTTGTAATTGACACTTAAACTCGAAATTTGACGCAAATTGCTATAACACAATGAAAAAAAAAAAAAAAAAATACCCATCTAGAAGCCAACGACCAACTTGATACTCTTTAAAAATAAAAGTAGCTTTTTGATAAGCTGTTGAACTAGGTTATTTTTAAAATAAGTTATTCATTTGCAGAACGTATATTTTCTCAACTTGAAACAGTAGAGCTAATTTTAAGCTTTAAACCAATATACAACACATTAATTCAGTGATGGATAATTGAAGGCTTATCCTACTTTAAATGTATATCTGCTATTCGTTTGTGTTTTTAAATGTATTCAAAAAGTATCTTTTAGCTAAAGGAGGGAAAATGAAACAGTAAATGTGAGTTCCCAGAGTTGATTCTGTTTTTCCCATGTAACGTTGCCACCCATTTGTACCCTGGCAGCCAGTGCTGAAGAGTCCTGCAACTGTAATCAAGGCGAGCAGTGGCATGCAGTTGAAGTGCTGCATGCGGAAGTCTCTGCCGCGTCTCTACCCAGGATTAAATCCTTGCTTGCTTGCGTCATAACCGCGCTCCTTAACTATGCTCCATCTCGCTTGTTCCTCTTGTATGGGCACACCGAGAGGAATTTATGGATTTTATTTAATTATAATTAAATATTATATTTCTTGTTTACAATAATACATTTAGGATAGCTAGGAGTTTAGCTCATTGAAAAATATAAAGAAGTCAGTATATCTATCTAGTATCTTTTATCTAAAACTATTTATTCTTTTGTATTTCGACAAGTTATAATCAAAATAAATTTTTAAAAATTACATTTAAATTAATTTAATGGAAAAACCTTTGACTACCGGGTATTTTAGAGGTCAAGCCTATCTCTCTATCTTTCTTGTTGTTTGCTTGTTACCATTATTTTTCTCAGTGCACATACTCCCCTGTGTACACACACTCACTCGCTCGCCACCTGTACATAATGAATTGTAATTTGAACAGACGCGCAGAACTGAATGCGAGAGCTGCGAGCATGAGTGTGAGTGCGTGCCATGTGTGCGTGTGGGTGTGTGTCGGCTATTAACTTAAATTACGTAGCATACTTTTGTGCGTCGCCTGCGGATTTAACGGCTGCCTTTCACACACACACGCAAATTCCACAAAGGCAGCGCATTAAAGTCGGAAAACTCACTCACACACGCACACACAACGAAGAAGAAACAAAAAAAAAAAAAAAATAAAATAAAATGTAAAAGGAAATATATATAAAAAAACAGGAGAGAAGAGAACAGATTTATTGTTGGATGCACACCGCCACCAGGTTTTAGTGCTGCCTTGATTAAGGCCAACAAACATTTCTCGCTCAGCGACATTTGCATAGTTATGTTTGTCATTTAACACATGTAATATGCCTGCCTTCCAAATGGATTTCGACAGCAACACGACAGCACACACACTCACAACAGCTCAGTAGCACGAGGGCGAAATCAGAGATATCACAGATAATTTGACAAAAATTCGGATTGTTTTTAATTTATGCAAGGCCCTCTTTAGTTGGCCAAATTGTTTAGACATGCAAAATAAATGTTTACAGGCGAAAATCAGTGTGGCCAATAAAATGAATGTCATGTTGTGTGTGTGTGTGTGTGTGTTGGTGCGCGTTTGCGGTTATGGGGAAACAGGTGTCAGAACCGGAAGCGGAAACAAAGTTCGCACTTGCCTTCGACCAACAACAAGAACAAAAAAAAAAAAACCAAAGCCTGTATCCAGCGTTACTAATTCATATGCGATTAGCCCAACGGATTAGGGGTTGGACAGGTGGCAAAAGGGTTGCGGTTTTCTACCTGTGTTGCAGTGCCGAAAACCGAAACCCCCAAAACAAAACCGCAAAATGCAGCACAAAACAGGGTGTGAGAAAAAGTGTGATTTACATGACAATTTTTGCAAAAAAAAACCTGTCTTTTACCTTGGCTGTATTTAATGTAGATTAAATTTTAAAACTAAATATAATATTTTTAAATAAAAAATACAATTTGAAAGGAAATAAATTCGATTTTATAATCGATTAATCTATCTAATCTATTTTTTTAATTATGCATTTATTATATTTTTTGTTTATTATACTTTTCTGATTTTTTTTAAACCTTTTTTTACTTGTAAACCAGTGCCACATCTCTCTCGCATTGAATTCAATTTTGGAAAAGACAAATACTTTTTAATCATTTATTTATGCATATGGGCAAGTGGGAGGGGGCGGGGGCGGCGTCTGCCCTCATTAACAAAACAAATGAAAAGGGGGCGGGTGGTTGGGGGCCCCATTCACAGGCAGTTCAGTTGACGCAGTTGTCAGACAGCTTGGCGCTGTGTGTGCGTGCGAATTTCGCTGGCGGCCACAATGGGGCGGTATGTCAACCCGCAGCAGCAGCAGCACCAGCTTCCGCCACGTCCTTGCCCAGTACGCAAGTTGCGTATACGCAGCGTGGTCGCTGTCGTTCCAGCTCCTGCTACCACTCCCACTCCTGTTCATGCTCCTTAACCGTTTCTTCCTTTTCCGCCTCGAGCCGAAAATGGAATGACAGGCAAAGTGAAAAAATGGCAAGAGGCCCAAGCGAGCATTAAGGGATAAGCTCGCTGTGAATATGTTAATTGTGCCGCCGTTGTATGAGTGTGTGTGCACAGTGAAAAATAATGAAAAGAAAAAGAAGAGAACAGAAGTAAAAATATAAGAAAATCTTTATGAAATATACACAAAATAAAAGTGAAAATGAGTTTTTTTTTTTTCAAATATAAAACTTAATTCAGTTTATTTTTTACTATTATCTTTAAAGATAATGATTAGATTCAAGTAAAAAAATAGATAAAATATTTGAAATGCACATTTTTCTTATTACAAAAAGAAACTTTAGTTTCTACTTCAACTTAATTTCGACACTATACAAAATAATTAAATATATAAACCCAACTAATTATAATTTTCTTTTGTGTATCCCGGGGACGTCGGGCGGTGGTTGTGTGGCGGCACACAAGAAGGGTCCAAAAGGGGACAGACAAACTGCTGACAATGGAAATGTATTATAATTGGAGAGGGAGACAATTTCGTTAGAGATTGATGATGCCTTTGTGGGTAAGCGCTATTCCTAAGTGGATAAAAAGCTGAATTATCGATATTTGCTATGGCCAGGCATTGTGTGTATTATGCATGGAATATGTTTGAGCATAAAGAAATATATATGTGGTTTAGTATATGTATTAAATCTAATCTGCCATGATAACCCTTTTTGTGTGAAAGCGGTTTCAGTTGCGCTTGGCAGAGGATGACAAGTATTTTATTTACTATATTCACTTCTTTCTTTGAAATAAGTTGAATACTATATATTTAGTAAACAATGTATTATAGTTTATTTAATTGATGTTAAAAATATATTAGTTAATCGAGAGTATCGATTAACTCGATAAATTGAGTGGATTTCTATTATAAATCAGTTATCGAAGCGAAAAAATAAATAATCTATGCAAACTCTATTTAATCAAAGGGATTACTTGTAAAAACTAATCCCCAATCGATATTTTTACCAATCAAAATTAAACAATCGATAAGTGATCTCTTCTTTCCACATTCCTCGTCTTCAACACAAACTCAGGGGCCGTATGCCCATTAAAATCCTGGCCACATTATCCCTCAGCACCGGATTCATGGTCCTCTGCTTCTCCAGACTCACTGGCTGGGCATGTGCCTGTGACAGTTGATAGAGATCGGCATAGTACTCCATTCCCGGTATCCCCACGGCATTGAAGCTCGCCGATACCTCGGTGCAATCAATAATCGAGGTCTTGAGCGGTGTGACCAATAGCGTGGAGTAATACGGCACCTTCTTGCCCTCGATCAGTTCACGGATGAGGAGTACGGCCGTACGGGAGCCGGCCAGAAGGTTCCAACGCGACCAACTAAAGTTATGCGATTGTGCCAGGGTCGAGAGGCAGGCATAGCAGTGCATCTCCATCACATAGTTCTTCTCGCAGGAACCTTCCGTATAGCAGAAGGCATCCTCGTCCGGAAATATGTCCACGGCGGACAGGATGAGTGTGGCCTTGAGCTCGGCCAGCGATAGGGTCTTGCCAATCATATCGGTAATGACCTGAGTGCTGCCACCCTGAAAGTTATTCACCGTATAGCCCGACTCCGTTATGGTCATGTCCAAGCTAATCAGTGAGGCTGTGAAGCTAAACAGGATGGTACCGGGACTGAAAAGCAACCAATATGTTACTTATTATATATTAAATAATAATATATATACCCACTTTTTCATATCTGGTCTTAGGTCCCAAGTTTGGTACGGCATATTGCTGTATTTGTTCAAGGCAAAGCCAAAGATTCCTGACATTAGGAAAGGGTTTAGGGTTTCCTAAGCTTTTAATTGCTTCTCTTGCTAAAAGTTCTTACCCAGTCTTCCGGTTCGAAACTGTATAGAGAGTTTGTCCTCGTTAAACTTGGTGTCGTGGACATCGCGGGTACTCCACTTCCCCTGGGTAATGGCCGCCGTGCTGCTGAGTTTCTTTCGGCTGTGTTTCACAAAAAGTTAAGATAATTGTAAAAAATATGTGTCGAAAAATATCTAAAAAATTATTTAATTAATTTCCCAAAATTTAAAGTGGCTTTTCCCCATTAAATTCCTGTTAAATTAAGAATTATTTTAAGTATTTAATATGAAAGCAGGTCCTTGAACGTCCATTTACCCCAGGTGCTGCTCAATATTATGTATTTCAATTACACTCTGCCAGGGGATAATAGTGTCTCTCCCTCAATCAAGGGAATGCAAAACCCCGATCAATCAATCTGCCAATTAAGGACCTTAGGTATATCCTACCTTTCGCTGTCAGTGGTGTCGCTGTGGCTGGACGGACCAAGGAAATCGTGCAGGGTATTGGCCGCCGTGGATGCTGCTCTTGCACCTTCGAGCAGCTCCACCAGGCTATCCACATCCTCGTCATCATCTTCGCTGCTATCCATGCTATTGGAGCGCTTGGCCGTGGCCTGGTCCGCATCCGTTTCCGGCGGCAGCTGGGAGTCCTTTACAAAGGAGATGCCCGTGTAATAGGCAAAGGCAGCGGCTGCCGTTGCTGGCTGAAGGACATCCACCAGCTCCTGGCTGAGCGGCTGAATGTCTTCGGAAAGATTGCCATCGCCCAGAACTGCTGAATCCTTTTCCCCTGATTTAATTGGCTTATCACTAACCTTCCAGGATCTTTTGACACTACTCACCTGCCGCCTCACTCGATCGCGAGCCCGTGGGCGATAGCTGCTCCGATATCTGCTGGATGAGCTCCTCCTGCTGATCCCTAGGCAGCTGCAGCAGCCACAGCTTGTCCATGTCCTCGATGAGCTGCGAGAAAAAATAGCCCTGGTGGTGAGCTGGTCGTGGTGCCATTTGCCGGAACTTGAGCAGCTTGTCGAAGCACAGCGGCGGAAACATCTCTGCCGGCTCTTCAGTGTCCAGGAACTCGGCTCCCAGTCCTGGTCTTGAGTTAAGATTCAGCTTGCTTGGTGTCACAAGCAGCAGGGGATCCTCCTCCGGCTGTCCCTGGCCCAGTCGGATGTGCGTTTGCCGGGCCAGGAACATCACCTTTCGCTGCCTCAAGCCCGTGGTCTCCGAGGCTGGAGTTGTCTGCTCCAGCCGAACGCAGAATCCCTGCGGCAGCCGGGGCACCACAAAGTCCTTGACCAAACCATACAAGTCCACATCGCTGGGTATGGCGCGGAGATCGAAGTCATTGATTTCATGTAGCATCTGCTGCGACTGCTCTGACTTCTGGGAGCGCATCCTTCGCGCAGGACACCGAGGTGAACTCTTCAAAGGACTAGGCTGGGCATGGGTGGATAGGGGTGTGGCCTCTGTGGGCGTGGCCGTTGTCCCAGCCGCCGTGCCACTCACAGCGCCCATGGCATCTGCCTCTGCATCCGCCTCGTTGGTAGGATGCTTCAACTCCGGTTTGACACCATCAGCCAGCTCCATTTCCAGGGTCTCCAGATGGGTTTCCCAGCGACAGGCCACCGGTGGCTCAAACCAAATCACGGAATCTGGAAGTCTATTTAAAAATATATATTTTATCCTTAAGTTATAAAATGAGGAAGGGATGAGACTTACTGCAAAGTGACCAAGGCCAGCTTGTCTAAAGCCGCTTCAATCATCCTCATCTCGGCTTCAATCTCCTCGGGCAGACGTCTCACTCCTGGCAGCACCGGAGGCGGTGGCTTGTAGGTCTGGTAGTATTCCTTGTGCACCAAACTATTTGCCGAGGTGACTGAAAAAAAGAAAAAGATTTCAAATGAATCTGGGATCAGGACCTAGGATGTAGGTCATAATGAACCCTACTGGTGCGTATGAATGATCTGGCATTTAGCTGCTTATCCTGCTGTGGTGTCTCCAGGAAATCAATGCAGTAGACTCCACCAATGATGCGGTATTTGCGCAAATTGACATCCGTCTCCAGCATGCCATAGGCCTCCGGTCCTATGGCCCTACGATGGGCCTTGCTCAGCTCATCCTCGTACTCGGCATAAAGTTTATCCACATCGTAGGTGCGTTCCCGCGGCGGCTGGGAGCTGGCCGAGTGCTGGTCCTGGGTGAGCTGCTCCAGCTCCGAGAGTGGTATATCCCGGCCACACTCGTCCAGCATGGCCTGAAGGATCTCCTTGCGTTTGCGCCACTCTCGCTTGGTTTGTCGGAGAATGTCTTTTGGGGGAGGAAATAATTTTAAAAAAATTACTAGGATAAATCTAACTGTCTTTTGGGGGGAGAAAATATTTTAAAAAATTATAAAGAACTTCTAAACCTCACTGGCATTGGCAGAACGAGCATGCTTCAGGCAGTAGCTGCTGCAGTAGTCACTAAAGTGATCATAGTTCAGCCAGAGTCCTCGCAAGGCTGAGCTTTGGAGATGCACTGTGGGCGGCAGGGATATCTGCATTTCGATGGTGGGAAAATCAATCTCATTGTGGGCCGATTGCTCTCCTATGCGGGCCTTGGGATTGACAGCACTGGGGCAAAGGATAATTAATAATATTTAATTATCATAGTCAATTATGATAATTAATTATTGAATAAATCATAAATTTTAACCCACATTTGTGCATCCTTGGAGAAGGTCCACACGAAGCTCTGAAACACATCCGAGCTGAAGATGTGCTTCGAAACACCGGGTCTATCGATTCTGGTTGAGAAATTGGAAGATTAAGATTGTGGATAAAGTACTTAGTTTTTCTCCGAAGCCTCAAAATATTTTATAATACAAAAATTACATAAAATTGTTTTTGATTTTTTTTGAAAAGTGGACATCGAATTAACCTTAACCCTCCCCTAAATGATTCCTAAGACTTCTAAGTCTTGTCCAACACTCACTCCATATCCCTTTCGATGTGCGACATGGTCTTATAGGTGAACTCATCCAGATGTTGCCTCAGATAAACCCGCATCTCAGTCTTGAGTTTTTTGAGATCAGCAGCCACATTAATGGAGCGCTGTTTGAAGGGCAACATCTCGTCCAGTTCGTTGAGGATCTTAAATAAATAAAATGAATATGTATAAATAATATACATAGAATAATATACATATATACATATTTGTACCCCCAACTCACCCCTAGAACCTCCTTGATCCTCTGCGAATACACATCACCCAGTCGTCCTTGCTGCTGGCGCAAAGAGATCCTTGTTAAATCGGGCACCTGGGCATCCTGGGTGAGCAATGTCCGCTCGTCAGTGCGAAGCAGCCAGTTCCGTGACTCTAAGTGACGCTTGGCTATGTCCGTATGCCACTGGTGGATGTACTTCCTGAGGTCACTGGGACTGGCGGCATTGGGCAGTCCATTGCAGCGCATAAACTTCTCCCAGTCGCGCTCGTGCCGCTCGCCATCCTTGATGGCCTCGATGGCCGTGCGGACGGCGTCGAAGAAGAGCATGCTGTCCTTGAGCTGAGAGCGCCGTTTCCGGTTCTCGGCCACTTCCTGTTGCTGCCGATGCTTGGCCTGCTCCATCTCCAGTTTTTTGCGCTGGCGAGCCTCCTCCAGCTTCTTTAGTCTGCAGAGGATTTGGGGTTAGGTAGGATATGTAGTATATATATATTATTTATACCCACTTCTCCTTCTCCATTTCGATGCGCATGAGCTCAGCCTGCTCCGCCTCGAGGCGGGCCTTCTCCTTCTTCGAGAGCTTCTTCTTGGGCGGCTGTCCATGAAATTAGCATTATTGTCATCAATATGGTTATTAGCATCTGTCCTGGATAGTTTCACCTACCATGTTATCCTTCTAATCAAACCTGAGAAAAGGTACTGCTATTGATCCAACAGGAGTCGCGAGTCCTGGCAACCCAGGCAACTTGGTCTTGTTTTGCTTGTGTGTATGGTTTTGCCCGGGCAACTCAGGTGGCCAAAAGCAATCCTTTAAATCCTTTTTGGCCTGGCCATAATTTCCCTAATTAAATATTCAATGGCAGCTTAGCGCGCCGGCCCAAAATTGTTTACCGAGAGTCCCCCAAGTCGAGTTGCACGTGGTGGGAAACTATCCGGGCATCTGGACAGTTATCCGGGGGGGTGACAAGGATAGCCAAGGATTCGCCGGGGTGGCTTGGGTCTGTGGGAATTCCACCTACAGCAGGGTTTCCGGACGAAGTGAGAAGACAGCCTCGATGCCACAAGCACCTCGGGGAGTTGCGGCTGCCTAATCTGAGAAAGGCACTGAGCCGGATATTGAGCCAGGACGGGAAATGGCATCCGAAAGGAGGAAAAAAAAAAAAGTCGAATTACTGGATTTATTTTGTTTTTGGCAAAATAAGAGTACTTATTGAAGAGGGGAAAAAATTGGGTATAATTATTAAGAAATATCTTAAAATAAAAATAAATTAATAAGATTAAAAATAATTCAATATATTTGCTTATTACTTCATACTGTTAAAATTAAAAATACAAATTATATACAATTTTTGGTAGTTAAAAGTACTTCAAGGAGGTCATGGTCACACTGGTTGATCATCTATCTATCTCTCTCTTTAGAGAGAATAACCTGGCTTAAGGGGGGGGGTAAGGTTAATTCGGTGCAAAAATGCCCACTTTTCAAAAAAATGTTGTGGCGAAACGGCTAAAGCTAGCTTAACGAATTAAATACCATATAATAACACAACATTTGAACAGTTTGTGATAAATTTTGTATTGAAAAATATTTAGAGGTAGAGGAGTTATAGGGAATCTCCCGAGTCGCCTCCAAAAAAGTTGGTTTGCGGTGTACATCCTAACTGTCCACAGAATCATCCGATCTACAAAAATTATACCTCATTCGTTAAAGGATAAGTGTCCCGAGGTATTCTCGAAGCGTTTTTATTTTTAAAATTTTTTCCCTATTTTTTTATCAAAATTTGAAGTCAAAACCCCGATTTTTGACTAAAAAATTAAGTTAATTTGTTAAATAAAAAATATAAGAAAATTAAAAATTAAAAAAGCTCGACGAGAATACCTGTAGAATTATCTAAAGAAGTTATGTTCCAAATTTCAAACCGATTGGTTCAGTATATTTTTAGTTATCGTGTACACCGATTTTCAAAATGGCATTTTTCAGGAGAGCGCTTTAAACTTTGTGATTCTCATGCATTGAACACCAACCGACCTTCGTTCAGCTCCGCATAACTTCGTCAATGTTACTATGATTGATGTAAAACTTGGACACAATATTCTTAAGATATTGAACTTTTAAAATAAAAAATAAAAAAAATTTACGAAAAAAAAAATTAAATACCTTACCCCCCCCTTAATAAAATGTATAGAAATATAAATAACTTCTTTCTGGAGCATTATTATATGAATTAAATTAAGATTTAAGTTGAAACCCTTAAAAAATATGATTGATTTGTTTAAAATTCGATATCCCCCGATTTCAATTAGTGATTCCTTCGCTCATTAATCACTGCCAAGCGTTTCAATTTATTGCAATTATTTATTTTCTTGCATTATTTCTTCTCGTTTTATCAATTAATAATTAAAATATTTGTCATGACAACGAATGGCTGTTATTAATGGCTGTGAAATTTTCACGCTGCTTTGATTCCTGTAGGAATTTCAGCTTTTTATATTCATTTTATTGATTTCCCACGGTATTTTCTTTTTTTTTTCTCTATTTTTTTTTTTTTGATTCTTCTTAAACCTTGTTTCCATTTTCCCCTATCCTTCGGCTCGATTCAAGCATTTTATTTTCCTCTTTTCCCAAGTTGACTGCCGCAAGCCCTCCCCTTTTGGGCCCATTTGGACCATGTGAGGCCAAAGAGTCCTGCCCAAGTCTGTGTCTTGGGTTTCCGCAGGTGTCAAGGTGACAACGTCGCTTAATTACCGGCCTATTTAAATTTTTAGCCCTGGCTAATTGCAAAGTTATCACATTAAATGGGGCCCAAAAAGGGTTAAGCAACTTGAGGATTTTATATATATTCAGAAGCATATGCTTTGGGTTAATGTAAAAAATATTATAAATATATATTTTATATTATAAAAAATATTTATAGCATTTTAGGAAATCCTGCAAGATTGTTTACAACTCAAATGTATAATTTATTAGATAACAAGAAAGGAAGCTTCAAGTTTTTTACTAAAGTTACAATACCAGCAAAGACTTAAAAATAAATGAAATATTTTAAAAACATTTTTTTAACGAAGATCTGCTAAATATACATATAAATTTATATATGAAACTAGTAAGCCAGGCGAACTCCGTTACGCCACCTTCGGCAAATTATCCGTTTAATTGAAGTGTTCTTTGGTAAACCACATTTTTTGTGATGTATTGTGGTTAATGGAATTATCTAGGGACCAAATAGCCCCTGGGATGTTAAAATCACCAAGAACTACTAACTAAGTGGTCCCTATCCGAAAGTCTTTTAGAGACCAACTGAATAGCGGAAAGATGGTTTCAATAAATAGGAAGTTCCGACAATGGAGGAAAGATGAAACTGTCTCGTTGGTGGTATTGCCATAAGGGGTTTTTTTCAAGGTAAGCTGATTACCCGCCTTACCAATTTCGGACGGTAGTCCGGGCCTGACGCCCTGGTAGGGATCTGGGGCTCTGAGAGCACAACTGTTGGGACCCTCCAGTGGACAAAACGGATATGGGCAACACCGGGGACACGGTCTCACCCGCGACACCTTCGGATAACGAATATTTTCTAGCACTCTATCTCAGGATTCTTGAAATTTGTCCTGAGGTCGATGGCTATGTCGAGGAAGGCTGCTGTTAGGAGCCTGCCGCTCTGGTTGGGATCCGCTTAGATGCTGCACACCAGTTGATCTTCGTGTGCCCACGCATTGTCTCAATCGGGCATTTTCCCTTACTACATTTCGTCTCTCCTCGCTTAAGTTCTGTGAATACACTTGTTGCTGGATTGCATGCCTTGTGCGGAGACCGATGTTCACACGTCGTGCTATAGGCATTTTCGACTATAGGCAGAGCGGTTAATTTAACCTCTAATCCACATAATTTACACAGTTCAACTTACCACCCTAAATACAAATGCTGGTTTCCAATTGCACTGATATGAAACGAATAACTTATTTTACTCAAAATTGAACACAATTTCGATTTGTCATAAAATAAACTGAGTAGAGAATTATGGCATGCTATGTGTCAGTGTTGGCGCTTTATGCAAAAATGATTTTCCCGTTTTCTGTTGCAATTTTTCCTGAATTTTCTTTACTGCAAAAAATCACAAATTCCGAGACCTTTCCAACGAATGCAAAACCGTGGAAATCGGTTCGTGCGTTCTGGAGTTATTTGATCCCCGCAGAAAACTCGACTTATTTTTATATAATAGATTTACTTCAGTTAATTTCTTACATTCCCCTAATTCTCCTCTTTAATTTGCTTTCCTCTTGCATTTTATTATCTCCTCTCCTCCTATATTTTTATACCCTTGCAGGGTATTATAATTTCAGTCAGAAGTTTGCAACGCAGTGAAGGAGACGTTTCCGACCCTATAAAGTATATATATTCTTGATCAGCATCAACAGCCGAGTCGATCTAGCCATGTCCGTCTGTCCGTCTGTCCGTCCGTCTGTCCGTCTGTCCGTCTGTCCGTTTCTACGCAAACTAGTCCCTCAGTTTTTAAGCTATCTGAATGAAACTTTGCATATATTCTTCTGTATACTCTCACTGCTATATATGTCGGAACGGGCCGGATCGGACGACTATATCATATAGCTCCCATACAAATGATCGATCAATTTTTAGAAAAAAAAATATAACTTGGCTGTTTATCAACATTTTTGCACCATTTTTTAGAGCAAATTAGCCATTTTATATTATTTTAGAATTTCGGTAAAAATTTCATGAAAATCGGACTACTATATCATATAGCTGCCATATAAACCGATCGGTAAATGTAAAACTGCAACTGTCAAACTGTAAACATAATAAGTATAGGTAAAATTTAATGAAATACTATCTGCAAGGGTATACAAACTTCGGCGTGCCGAAGTTAGCTTCCTTTCTTGTTTTTTTTTCATACATTTTATCTCCTCTCCCAGGTGCCTTATTTCGTTTTGTTTGGATATTTATGGTGGCTGCCCCCGGGAGAGCATTGAGGGGTAGAGTCAGAGACAGAGGCAGAGGCCACAGGCCACAGGACATGCCGTATAATCCCTTCCCTCTCTCCAAACAGGTGCTCCTCCCTACCCTGGCTTATAATGTGATATAATTTGTGTAAATAATACAGATTGTGACAGTGCCCAGAGAGACTCGGGGCGTAATTAGTTTAAATTGGTTGCGGGGAAGTTGGCACAAAATAGCAAACGGAAAATGGAAAATGGAGAATGCAAAATGGAGAATGTCAAATGACAGAGTGAAGAAATGGTGGGATTCGTGCCAGATGCACAATAAAAATTTATCATACGCACCGTTGACGTTGACAGATCGTCAAGCTGAAGCGAATGGCGACAAACTGCTGCAAAAGCGATAAAAAGTGTGAGCTTAGAAACTATTCCAGCCAGTGATGAGTCATTATTCTGGATCAAAAATCTAGAAAGAGCTCTGAAAAGATCAAATAAAATATGTTGTTCTCTTAAGGTGAGGAATTAAGGTTAATCCGGTGCCAAACGGACCACTTTTTAAAATTTTTTTAAAGCGAAGCGGCTAAAGTTAGTTTATTAAATTAAATACCATAAAATAACACAACATTAAAAAAATGTTGTGTTAAATGTAGTATTGAATAAGAATTACATACATTGAACACCAAATGACCACCGCTTCAATAAGCATACCCTTGTCAATTTTTATATAATCAATGTTAAAATTTGACACAATATTCTCAAGATATTAGACTTTTATAATAAAGAATATATATATATTCAACACCTTAATCCCTTTAAATATATTTCCTTTTTGTAGATTTTAAGCTCAAACATACATCAGGGTAAATCCTTGCCAGAACTGGCATACAGCTCATACTTATTCTCATCCTCATCCTCATCCTCATCTGGGCTGTGCATCCTTTCTCTCCTTTCCATCTCCGGCTGAATGCCACACGCTCGAGTGAACTCTGCAATCTGACAGAAATTGGTGAATGGCGAATGGTTAAATGCTTCGTGTTGCAAATGCAACTGCAGCTCAAGCGGAAGCTTTTGCCGGAGAGTTGCCTTTGCTTAACCCCATCCATGATGCCTAGATGATGATGACGATGATGATACGCATTGTCTGTCTGCCTTTTCACTCGCTTTGTCTTCCCTTTCGGGTGTGAAAAGGCGCCTTCTGAATGCTAAATTACTTACAACACGAGCTGCAATCGTCCTTGCACACACAGATTAGCTTTTGAGTGAAATATACAAACAGTATCTGAAATATATAACCTATATATGAGGTGTTTATTATATTTATCTTTTGCAAAGCAATTAAATCATAAAAAAATGCATTTGTTTTAAACATTTATTTCCATTGTAAAAGTAAATGTAAGGCATTCATTTGCTTGTTGAAACACAGCTGGATATCCTCTGTGTTTTTTTTTTTTTGGCAATTTTATAATTATGGATGTCTGGATGTACATATTTCTGGGGCTATCACTGGTGTCCAACTGGGCGAGAATGATTCCGGTTATGGCACATCAGGGGGGAGGGCCCAGGAACGAGGCACTCGGGCTGCGGATGAGGCCGATGATGGAGGGTGTGATTCGAGGTGGAATGCTTTCTTAATGTGCTCGATGCGACGTTGATGGCATTGCAAATGTGCACACGCTCGGGTCCCCAAAACCTGTGGCAATGTGGCAGACTAAAAGCACTGAGAAAAATACCCAAAATTAATAAATATATGAATTGAAATATAATTATTATATATTAAACAGAGAAGGATAATAATTGCCAATCAAAATAAGAAAAACATTTTAAATATTAATTAGGTTAATCTCGTTTTTTTTTTTAACTTTAATTCTTTGTGTATTTTGCATCAAGTACTTAGCAGACTGACAGAATCGGACAACCTCCTGGCTCTCCCCCGATTTTCTCACGTTTTCCACCCTCATGTTCCTCATGTTCGATGTCAGATTTGGAAGACTGTAGTCTGCTGAAGGAAAATGGCATGGAGAATGGGTGGGCATACCCACCATGTTCTCGTCTTTGAACACTGAAAATTGCAAATATATTGAGACATTCCCATAAGCTAAATGATGATTCCCATTTGGAGATGATCAACCGAATTGTTGACATAATTGAACCGATGGAGTGCTTTGTTTTGGCATCTTTGGGGGCATTCAATTAGAAGCATACATATGCTAATGGCTTTTGGGGGGGAAAAGTCAGACGAGAACCGAGTGTTTTTGTATCAAATTGTGTAAATTATGGCCATGTCCACTTATTTGGTTCAGTGCAAAATAAAGAAAGACACCTTATACCCTCCGATTTGTATCTGATTTAATCTTAAATTGTAAATCTTAGGGAGAAAAAGTTTTCAAAAGAGATAGGTCTGCCCTCTTGTTTCAATTCTTTGACAGTTGGGCTGCCCACTTGTTGTGTTGCCACTAACAAAGAAACGGGTTTCCGGTTTCCGTTGTTCTATATATACACATTGAATTTTCAATTTAAAGAAACTAATAATTAATAATTTAATATAATACATCTAATAATTATTATATATTTTTCTCTTATTTTTTTCAGCTATTTCTGTGAACGTAAATTCCCATATCGTCGTTTAATCGCCTTCCTGCCCTATGCACTATATCAACAACAACAACAACTACACTTACTACCACAACAACAACAACAACAACAATAACAAGAAAAAGTCAACCCAAAAGCAATCATTAAAAAGCAAATACCAAGTAAAAGTTGAAAATTGGAACAAATGTTTTACATGCCTACGGTTAAATTGTAAATAAATTTGTATAAAGAAATTGAGAATACCCGAAAAAAAAGAAAACTTACAAATTATAATAACAATAACATTATATTAAATATAATGATATAATAATTAGGCTTTTTTTTCCAAAAACAAACTCTTCGTCCGTTTTATTCGTTCATATAAAATGATTATGTAATAATAATTCGAAATCCCTTTAAAAAACACGGGTTCCGGGTATCGAAAATAGTCGTACTGATCGACTATCGACTATCGCCGCAATCGGAACCATTAATCGGTCAAAGAATCAATTTGACAGTAATCCTTTCGGCCAGCAAAATTTAGCTAGAAGACAAAATATACAAGAAGAGCATTTTTTTTGCATACAAAATTGAATGAGAAAAACAAGAAATAAATTTAGAAAAAATAAAAGTAAAAAAAGTCAACAACAAGAAAATACCAGGCAAGCGCAGAGACCCAACAATAATTAGCATTAAAAATTGGTTAACAAACGCAACACCCCAGAGAAGGCTTGAAGGGAAGAGGATAAGTTGTACGCCCATTGTGATTATTAATTCTAGACATTAGGCCAAGAAACCAAACCGAGGAAAAAAAATACCAGAGAATATTGTGGATGAATACTGGAACAACAGCAGCCAAAAATCGACCAAGAGCTAAGCAAGAGCGAGAGGATATCGCAACCCAAAAAGCAACATTAGCCGCCCAAAGGAACTAGAAAGCATTCTTAGCCGAGAAACTCTTAGTTCGATTCCATCCAAAACAAAAATAAAAGGAAAAACCGAAAAGGGAAAGAGTAAAGGGAATCCATTGATGCGGCTGAAAAAAAGATCAAAAACAACGACAGCTCTCAGATCTGTAAATCCCAAACTATAGGTTTCTCCTTCTTCGAATCGCGAGTGCTTAACCGCTTCCGTTTCCGTTTCCGCGTCCGCGTCCTTTTTCGGTTTCGAGTTCAAGTTCGACAGCCGCCAGGATGACGATGTGGCAGAGCGGCGGCATGGGAGGCCATGGCTCCCAAAATAATCCATGGATGAAGCTGATGGGCATCGTGCACAAGGAGCGACGCCACACGGACAATGTCCAGAGTCAGTCCGGTTCCAACGAGCGCAACCTTAACCAGTGAGTATTCAAGAAAGTAATATATTATTGGGGACATACTATTTTTTATCAAGTAAAAGGACCTGAACATCCTTCTTTTTCCCCTTTGTCATAGCAAAGCAAAAAGTATTAAAGGAAGAAATATTTAAAAACTAAAATATATATGTGAGAGAAACTATTTATACTATTATTGATTAAGTAAAAGGACCTTAACATTCTTCTTTTTCCGCTTTGTCTTAGCCCAGTGGCAAAGCAACAAGCGGAAATGGATATGTGGAAGGGGAAGAACAAACAACTAGTGATAAGTGTGCGGCCACATCCACTCTTGGATTTCTCTCTTTTTTTTTTGAGAGTTCCTTTGGGGCTCAATAAGCGTAATTCTGCATAGTTATGCGACGGAATCGGGGGCTTAACTGGGCTCTGGCAGCAAGGATATGCGACGCTGCTTGCGCAGGAAAGTATGCGGCGCTTTTTTCCTGCTCCTCCACCTCCTCCTCCACCCCACCGAATGTCGAATGTGGATGCCATGTTATGCATATTGGTCGTAAAACATGCGCCAACTGCGCAATTAAATGGCCCGCAATGCAAATGGAATGCCCAGGACATGGTCCTAGATTGGGCGGAGGCGAGTGCCTGGTAGAGTCATTTGCCACAAATCAACGCCGGCCACTATCCCTTGTCCACCTACATTTCTTGTTTCCTTTATTTTCGTTTGTGAAGCGTCCTGTGAATGATATATCCAAAGGGTGCTATCATTACCCAGTTCCCTGGGCTTTTAAATTGGCTATAAATGCGCTGGAGCATAAATGGATTTACACACATGCAGCTTGTTGCTCCGCTTTCCCTTCATTCCCTTGGCTTCCATTTTCCATTTCCCATTTCCATGTTGCATGCAAATACAAGCCACTGCAGTGACACGCCCTAGAACCCAGAAAAAAAAAATATACGCCCACATCGAACTCTCAGTCGAAACCATTTTCGACTTCCCTTCAACTTTTTGACGTGTGTTTGTGGCGTCCAAGGAAGCGAATTGCAAAATGCACTTCCGCCGGATGAGGAGCCCAGACGGAAGCTGTGTGAGATTGCAAGATGGCTGCCAGCAAAAATAAGTACCGCAATCTGATTGAAGCACCACCAGATGCTATATACTTGGCCATTCAAGCAGAAATTCGATATAAATATGGTTTTGCCTTTATGTTTATGATTTAAAACATAAATAAAGTACGACGAGAACCGGAAAAGAAAGCTTAGAAAGCAGGAATATTTGTAGTAATTTGTATGCCCAAATTATACAATTTTTATACCATTTGTTGGAGGGTTACTAGAGTTGATTGTGCTTTGGCTTACCTTCGACATATCCTTTCTTCGAGTGAAAAAGTTATATTTTATTCTAAGAGAATTTTCAGAGACGAGATTAAGGATCAACATGGCTATAAATAATAATATATAAATATAATAAATATGGTAGAGCTGGAAATAAAAGCGAATCCTAGAATAGATTAATAAATTTTGTAAAAGTATGCAATACAACGATATAAATCGATATAAATCAACGATCAGAATCGATTTAATCGAAAAACTCTCGGAAAAGTAAGGCACAAAGTTGAAAATTTTTTGGATATATATTTTTTAATTATAATTTGTGCACTTTTCGATATCAAATTTAAATTGATCGATAAATATATATTAAAAAATTTATATTTAAAATGTAAAGAACCGTAAATATTTAAATCTATGATGTAAATCCATAAATTATTTAAATAATTTCCGTTTTCGATTTTAATCGATTAAAATCGATTCACTAAAAATCGATTTATTTTCATACCTTATATTATATAATAGTATCTTTCATATCTTATGTCTTTTATGGGTCATCATTGCTTTTTGCATTTTAGTTCTCAGTGCCAAAGTTTGTTCAGCTAAACTTTTCAATTGCTCTCCAGGACTCGATGGGATCCCACTCCCTCTGACTGCCGCTGCTCCCAGAACTTTACTCAAGCGGATTAATTGAACTAGTTCCCCAATTTGCCAACTAATGTGCTTTAGGATTCAGCTGGGTCCTGCGTTCTGCCAACATAAATTTACCAACACACACACACACACACACACACATACACACCCATGCACCCACAATGGAAAGCACTTGAATATGAAAGGATAATAATAATATTTTTATTTTATTATATTTTTAGTTTTTCTTTCTTTCTTTCGTTGCGGCTGCAGCATCAGCGTATGAAGGGGTCAGGCAGGGGTTGGGCAGGGGTTGGGCAGGGCTTAAGTGCACTCAAGTGCCAAAGGGGGTGCACATGTGTGGGTGGGTGGGTGGATTGTGTGCAGTGTAACTGTAAATGCATGCAGCCGGTGTTGGAAAGTGCTCGCTAACTGTGCGATGATTTCGGGATTCAACCGGATTATTTTCGCCAAGTATATTTGAAAATTTATGTTCCAACTCTTTTGCCCTTTTGTCCTCTGCACTTTTCCCCTTTTCCACTTCCGTTTTTCTTTGGCTTTAGTACCTTGCACTTTCACTCGCAGCAACTTATGAATTATTTTATTGCCTCGCAAATGAATTTCAAATTGTTCATATACTTAAGTGGTGGATTTCAAGAGCTTAAAGCGAATTTCGATAGAGCGGGGACTTTGCTGGAAATCTATTAGACGAAATAAGGATCCTTGGGATCGGAGAGAACTTAATTTTGATATTAATTCATTTAAATAAAATTGAGCAATTGAACGTTTTGGTTAAGAGTTGGAAGTTGGAAGAGTTATGAATTTTCACGATTTTACTTTTCCCAAAAATTCTCAGAAAAAATGATGGGTTTTCATTATTTTGAAAATTTGAAATTCCCAGATTCCCAAAATATTACGTATCCGCAGTGGAGTCATTTGTTTTTAAAATTTCAGAAAAATCAAACTAGTTTGATTTGAAATGTTTATTAAAATGTAAACTATTATTTTTACTTACCACATATAATTTAATTATTAATAATATTTATTTTATACTATAAAATGATGTTGAAATATATTGCTAAAAATTCCCAAAAAAATCAAAAAGTTGAGGAAATTCATTCTAGAAAAGTTGCTCTTGAAGATAAAACCAAGAACATAACTATGTTAATTGTTTCAAAAATATATATTAACAAGCGACAATTTATTTGTATTATTTTCAGCCTGAATAAAAACCCAGTAAAGGCCCAGAGGTATCCCCATATTTATGATTTTTTTCAACAGTTCGATGGGCTGTTTTATTTATATATTTCTATAATTTTTTTTTTGTTGTGGAGCGGTGTGCATGCATAAATATATGGCGAAGGTCAGAGAAGCGAACATAAAAGGGTTGCTGCTGCTTCGGCTTGGATGGGCGTGGCAGAACCCCTTGTTTTGCCAGCCAGAATTTTGTTTGCCATTTTTACCTAGAGGCCCCCAGTCATTCCCTGCTCCCCTTCCTTCTTCTGGGCGAGCAACAGTTGAACATTTGGAAATTTGCATAAATATCTACCCACAGGCCCGAGGGCGAAGCCCCTTTTATTGCCCCGCCCCCACTCCTCCGCCTTTCTTTCGTGAATTTATAGAAATGTGTACGACACTGTTTCCATTTGCCTGGGCAGTCGGGGCTCTTTGTTGCCCTTCAAAGGCATTTGGGTCCAACATGTTCATATGAATACTTTATAAGCCTCTCTATGGCCATATACCCTTCTCTTTCTAAGCACCATCTTTCCCTCTCTCTCTCTCTCTCTCGCTGAGTGTGTGTGTGTGTAATATTTATGCTGCGAAATGTTTGAAGTTGACGAAACCATCGACGTGGTTGTAATATTTAACGCCAACTCTGCTCTGCATTCACACACAAGGGAAAATGTCTATTTTTAAAACGGAAATGTTTTCAATTTCCTGAATAAAGGAAAGGCATTTCGAAGGCACTTTTCAATTCAAGAAAATTCCATTCAAATAATTCATAGAGCAGGCATCCTTGAGCTTAAATAATACAAAATTAAATGTGTTAATATTCTTCATTTTTAAGTTGGAAAGGTCAGCATAAAGTGGCTTGATTTACTGAATATATTTATGTGGAAAATACTTTTAAAACTTAAGAAAAGTAGGCTTAAAGGTAAAAAACTAAATTGGTTTATTTTATAAAAAGAGAAAGCTAGGAAAATATTTATTTTTGTATAATTTTATGCATTATTACGTCTTGATTTTTTATATCTCTCTGAGGGATTAATTATATATATATTTTTTTCTCCGTGTTTTCGTTTTTTCAGCTCTGCTCCCCCCCTTTTCCTTTTCCTTTTTTCCCGCCTCATCACCGGTGACTGAGCTATTTTGCATTGAAATTGAAATGTCCGCAGCTTTTGTTGGCCAGGTGAAAAGCATACGCTTCAACTGGGCCAAAAACACATTTACTCGTGTCTATATATAGAAATATATACCATGTACATCCTCTGTATATAGACAGACATCCTTATGGCCTTATCAAGCAGTTAGTTGCGGTGAAATTAATTGAAAATTTAAACACATTGAGCGAAATTAAAGCGTTGATAAAGTGCAACGTAAAGTCCCATGTAGATTTGTCAACGTCCAAGGCAGCTGGTATACAGGGTTCAGTATATATATGTATATATGTAGATATGTATATATACACCGTTATCGGTGGGCAATTAATGGGATTATGCGGACAGCTTCCACTTGAGCCATTGATTTTAAGCGGGAAAATGAGATTTTCACAGAATAAAGCAGCCAAATTTTTGCTGTTTTTCTTTAACGAAAGATATATGTACATATATATAATATAGATACATACATGTATATATATAGAGTTATATGTACTTTAAGACATATGTATTTTCTAGTACATTTTAAACAGAACTTGTCTTATTAGTAATTAATATTAAAATATCTCTAAAAGATTAAAAAGATCCTTATGAGAAAGAACTGAAAGTTTTGGAGAATTTTCCGTTTTATTATATACAATTATTATTATTGATTATTAAATATTCTTATAAATTCTAGTTAATTTTTAATTA